TAGATAGATAGATAGATAGATAGACTTTCACTCAACAAGCAAAGTACAGTAATCGTGGCAGATTGCGAATAACTCATTTCAACATTAGCATCCCAATCTGAAGTTTAGTGTAAATAAAAAATATTTAAATATAAAACCAAATAGATGTTTTAAAAACCGTACTGATAGTTGCGTTTACATTGGAGGTTTGTTGGAACATAGCCTCAACCCTGTGCAGTTTTTTCAGTTCACTGCACCGTACACCTCACACTATTGATTCTAGGGCAGAGAATAAGCAATGCTTCACCAAGCACCCTTCTAAGGTCAAACAAAACTCTGTCCCTGAATTTCCAGGGGAATAAAGAATCTTGTGGCTGGTGCCTGTTCACATATGGGATCAGTACAGAAATAGATGGCAGGCAAACAGGCTTTAACTGCAACCACATGCATTCTGGATTATATTGCTCCTCCAAACAAAGAGAATGAGGCCTGCAGTGGGATATAGAAAACGTTTTTGTCAATGTTTATGTCACACTGATCTTAAAATGATTTTGCATGAGTGACGCTGTGTTAATGAGTCACTGCCATGGTCAGCTTGTCATCAGCATCACTTGGATCAAGGCCTAGGAATATGAAAACCCGTACAGAGTTTAAAACTAGACAAAAAGAATAGCTTGCAGTCGTTTTGTAATGGCCCCAAAATGAATGGTAATTTACACACCATGTCATTCGAAACTCATACGACTTCCCTTTTCAGTGAAATGCAAGAAGCTAAATTCTGAAGATTTTTTTTTCATGCTGTTACTATGAAAGTGGCCTGGAGCGTTCAAGTTTCAAATACGACAAAAAAGCACCATAAATGAATCATAAAATTGGTTGATGTCACTCGTGTTCCCAGTGTTCTAAAGCCATACGATAGCTTTGCATGAGAAACTGAATGAAATTGATAATATTCCCCATCCAATCAGATGCTACGACCATTAAATTTGTGAACTGTGAACCAGATGCATCTAAAAAGTGAAATAATCATTCAGATCTAATTCAAAATAATTATTTGTTCAGAGATTTGACTATTTTCCAGAAAATAAGCTGCACTTT